AGCCCTCTTGCAAAGCCAACGTCTCAGCCGTCTCAACTGAGAAACTAGGATGGGTCTATTTGGCAGGATTTTTAAAAAGTCAAAAATTATTTCTGAGATTAAGAACATATTTTTTAACATGTTTGGATAATTTGTTAGAAGTGTCTTTTCTAACTAGAAGAGCTTTTAAAATAAATTGACCTAAACTTGCTTTCTCAGAAAGTTCTACAAGAAGCAGAAATAAAAGCAAAAGTCATACCAATCGACCTCGAGGTCATTTAAAAAAGTTGTCAGTACCTTTGACTTTAATTGAAGTATGATTAAGTTCATATCCTTTTATAAAGTTATTAAGCCTACGTCTGATTCACATTCTTTTCAAATTTTTTTTTTATGAGATTATTTTTAACTATACATTTACACAATAAAATATTTTGTACTTAAATTCAAAAAAAATTTCATACTTTTTAATCACACATTCTAATAAAACACTATTCAAAACTCTCTCTCTCTTTCTCTCTCTCTCATCTTTTTTTTTTTTTGTTTTTTTTGTAAAAGAATGATCACCAAACAGGGGCTAAAGAGATCCGAATGGACATATAAATCAAGATCCAGTAATTAGACAGTCAAGCCGACCATAGACTGCATAATCTACTTATTAGTTTGCGTTAAGAAATTTCTAATTAAAAAAAGCATACGAAGTTATCTTGGGAGTCACTCTATATCCTTGTATGGAATATAATGACAAGACCATTACCAACATTTTGTAAAAGTTTCCTAAATTCGAAGCAAAAGTGTTACAAGTTAAAACATTATGAACAGTAATAAGAGAACAACATTCTACTTTTACCCGCTCGAAGTCAAGATTTTGTGCCAAATGAAGCCCTCGCGCAAAGCCAACGTCTGAGCCTACTCAACCGAGAAACTAGGATGTGTCTATTTGATAGGGTTTTTGAAAAGTCAAAAAATGTTTCTGAGATTAAGAGCCTACTTTTGGACATATTTTGATAATTTTCTCAAAATACGTTGTGTAACTAGAAGAATATTTAGAATAAATTGAGTTAATGTCGTTTTTTCAGGAAATTCTTCTACAAAAAATAAAAAGTTGAAGTTCTACCAAACGGGCCGAAGTCTTCTAAAAAGGCTGCCTCCACTTTTGACTTTAATTAAAGTATAATTATTAAGTTCATAACTTTTTATAAAGTTATCAATGAGATTCGAATGAGTATATAAATCAAGATCCAATAATTAGACACCCAAGCTGCACAATCTAATTATTAGTTTGCATTTACTCCACCAAAAGTGTAAGATTAAATCGTAGAATTATATGAATTTCATAAGCTTATTTCTGTCTGCAGCTACATCCTCATACCTAACCATATTTATGTCTTAACCCATCATCAACACCCGTTAATTAGAGGATTGAATGCCCATTTCACTCTTCTAGTTACTTCCTTAAGCTAACATTTTGTATCAACAATTTCTTGTCGACCAATCACAGTCTTTACTCAGTCGTCGCTAAATACGAAGCTCATATTTAAACAATTCAGTAGATAACATGTAATTGGACTCTAATCCTTTGAAATAGGTTGATGATTTCCCAAAGCAAATACATATACAGTGCTTTGATTACTCTTAGTTCCCAATGTACCAAAGTATTTGATCAAAGTAATTGATCTAACTCATTGGTACATCAAAGATCATCAAGTTCACGAATAACATCCATAATCTTGTTGAGGATTTACTTAAACCATAAGGCAACATAAAGTTATAAACTCTACAAAAGTCCAATTTAATAATAAACTTTTGATTGTACTAGTCTTGAACCCACAAATAAACAAACAAAATATGTAATTCGGGTTAACAATTGGCCATGTCGAGTTCGATTCATGTCCAAAAATACTTCTTGATTTGGCTCATTGGCACGTAGGCCTCATTGTTTGAAATGCACAATCCACGAGCCCACTCATTTACATTTAGGAAAAGTTCACAACTCAAGTTTTATCTATCCCAAAATCAAAAATTAGGCCCCGAAGTTTAAATTCAAAAAACTCAGGTTTTTCCATGAATTAATTAATTAATTATATTTTACAATTAATCTATTAAATTAAATAGTTAACTATAATATAAGATATTCCACCCCACCACCACCACCACCACCACCACCACTCCGGCGACTGCTCCGCGACTACTCCAACGACCGGCGACAACTCCGGCAACTATTCTCCGACTGCACTTAATTTCGGTGAACATTTTTCGGTGACCGTTAATTCTGGTAACTGCTCCAATTCCAAGGTCACAGATCAAAAAATTACATGTCACATGTCACGTATTTTCAAATTTGTGGGTCACTAATTCATTTTTTAGTTACAAATTATCAATTTTAAAGTCACAGTTCAATAGCGAGATCACAGACACCAAAAAACCACCACAGTTCAATAGTGAGGCCACGGACACTGGCTAGGTCACAGACACCAGAAAAAAAACCACAGTTCAATAGCGAGGTCACAGACACCAAAAAAAAAAAAAACACCACAGTTCAATAGCGAGGTCACAGACACCAAAAAAAATACCGCAGTTCAATACTGAGGTCACATACACAAAAAAAATCACCACAGTTCAATAGCAAAGTCATAGACAAAAAAAAAAAAGAACCACCACCACACGGATCACCATCACCACCACACGGATCACCATCACCACCACACGACCATCACCACCGTCCAAAACATACCACCAGAGATCTACCACCTCCACAACCACACATCCCCAGTCGCAGACTAAACAACAATAAATCTAAGTTTCATTAGCTACTGAACACTTACATACGAAACATACAAAGCACAAACACCATCACCACACTCCACCTCAGCCACCACAAAATCGCCGGAGAAATACCACGAATTGGGATCTGGAATAGATCTCCAAGAGGCGGATGACCACAGAATCGTCTCGCAACGCTGCTGTGAATGGTGTCGTGCGATGCTATTACACATCGACAACAGCATCGCGCAACGCTGCCGACGCTGCTGCGGTTTACAAGCAGTAGCGTCACGGCCTAGAGAGGGAGGGAAGAAGAAGGGAAGAGAGGAAGGGGAGAAGAAGGGACGAGGAGGCGGCGCCGACGACGGTGGAGAGAGGTGGCCGCAACAGCGACGACGGGGGAGAGAGGAGATAAATGAATTGGATTAGGTTAGAGTTTGGATAGATTTAGGTTTTATATAAATTTGGTGAGGGTAGGTAGTAGGGTGGGTACAAATATTATTTTAATTTTATAATATTATTATTAATTAAAAATGATAAAACCTGATTTTTGATTAAATAAAGGTAAAACCTAATTTTCAGGAACTTAAAACTAAGCAGCTGGTTTTATGTAATTTTCTCTTTACATTTTTTAACTTCAAAAAGTTGAAACCCTCATTTTTTGGGCTAGGGGTGAGCTAATTTGAATGCAGGCGGAGTTAGACTGTTCACGAACAATATATTATGTGTACAATTTTTTTCTAAAGAGTCGAAAAAATTAAAGAAAATTAATGTAAACAATATTACAAATTATGAACTAGTGAGTTGACTCAATTCTTGAAACTCTTTGATAAACCGTACTTCTTCTCAGTACCTTAAAACATTAAACTCTATTATTTCTTTAAGTCATGACCTGTAATCGGACAAAACATTGCCACTAGCACTAAATTAGACTTCTATGATATAGTAGATACCAGATGTTTTAATAGATCATGTGATATTATGTAATGTGTCCGTTTTGCCACCCCAAAACCACTGCCCATAAGCTCAAACCGAATTAAAAATCTAGCTTGGCTCGCCTCATGTCTCCTCTCCATACAAGTCCGAATGTAGAGGTGTCAATCCGGGTGGTCCGGGCCGGGTCGGCCCGCCAACATGTGAGCCCGGTAACGGCCCGCGTGAAAAAAAGCCCGTCCGCTGCGGGTTCCGGGCCGGTTACGGGTCGGCCCACAATTTTGGACTACAACCCAGGCCCGCCCGCTGACCCATCCGGGTCGAGCCCATGCGGGTCACGGGTCG